GGGGTCTCGAGTCCCGGCACCCCCCTTCAGCTACGGCGCCGTGCTCACAAGCATAGCGTGTTGCGACAAGCACTGGAAAACCTCCAGACGCCTACAGCGGCGGCTGTCGTCATCGTCATCGTCGTTGTCATCGTCGTCGTCGTTGTCGTCGTTGTCCTCGTCGTCGTCGTCACCGTCGTCGTTGTTTTCGTCGTTGTCGCCGTCGTTGTCGTCGTCGGCACCATCGTCGTTGTTTTCGTTGTCGTTGTCGCCGTCGTTGTCGTCGTCGACGTCGTCGTAATCGTTGTCGTCGTGGTCATCGTCGTCCTTATCTCCGTCCCCGTCCTTGTCGTCGTCGGTATCCTCGTTGTCGTTGTCGACGTCGCAGGGCTTCCAGACAACTCCAGGGTCCTCCGGCAATCTCCTGATGCTTCCGGAGACCTTTGTAGACTTTTAGAGGCGGCCTTCGTCGTCCTCGTTGTCCTCGCCCTCGTCTCCCTCGTCGTCTTCCTCGTCGTCGTCCTCGTCGTTTCTGGGGGCCTCGGAGGTTTTCCAGACGCCTCCGGAGGCCTCCGAAAACTTTTGAGGCCTCTGGATACCTCTGCAGTCCTTCAGAGGCGGCCGTCGTCATCGTCGTCGGCGTGGGCGTCGGCGTCAGCATCGTCATTGTCGTCGTCGCCACCGTTGTCTTCGTCGTCGTCGATTGTCGTCCTCGTCGGCGGCGTCGCATGCTCACGTTCTCGTCGTTGTCCCCGTCCTTGTCCTCGTCCTCGTCCCTGTCGTTGCCGTTGTCGTCCGCGTCATCGTCCTCGCTATCGTTGTCCCCGTCGTTGTCGTCGTCGTCCTAGCTATTGCACTATTGTCGTCGTCGTCGTTGTTGTCGTCGTCTCCGTCTTCGTTGCTGCTGCTGTTGCAGTCGTCGATGTGGCCGTCTCTGTCCTCGTCCTCTTCGTCGTCCTCGTCGTCGCCGTCGTCGCTCTTGTCGTCGTTGTTGTCGTCGTCGTCGGGGGTGGCGGCGTCGTCGTCGTTTCAGTCGTCGTCGTCGTCGTCGTCGTCGTCGTCATCGTCGTCCTCGTCCCTGTCCCAGTCCTCGTCCTCGTCCCAGTCGTCGTCGTCGTCATCCTCCTCGACCTCGTCGTCGTCGCCGAGGGCCTCAAAGGGCCTCCATGCCTCCAGAGTTCTCTGGAGACCTCCGTAGGCCTAAGAAGACGTCCAAAGTCCTTCAGAGGCGGCCGTCGTCCTCGTAATCCTTGTCATCGTCGTCGTCGTTGTCCTCGTCCTTGTCCTCGTCCTCGTTCTTGTCGTCCTCGTCGTCGTCGACGTCGTCGTCGTCGTCCCTGGTGTCGTCGTCGCTCTCGTCGTCGTCGTCTTTATCGTCGTCCTTGTCCTCGTCCTTGTCCGCGTCGTCATTGTCGTCCTCGCCCGCGTCCTCGTCTCGACCCTGTTGTCGCCATCGTCATCCTCCTCCTCCTCGTCCTCGTTGTCCTTGTCCTCATCCTCGTTGTCGCTGTCGTCGTCGTCGTCACCGAGGGCCTCGGCCTCCACACGCCTCCAGGGGTCTGCGGAGACATCCTTCAGAGGCGACCGTCGTCCTCGTCCTCCTCATCGTTGTCGTCCTCGTCGTCGTCGTTGTCGTATTCGTCGTCCTCGTCCTTCTCGTCCTCGTCGTCCTCGTCATCCTTGTCGTCGTCGTCGTCGTCGTCGTCGTCGTCGTTCCCGTCCGCGTCATCGTCCTCGCTATCGTTGTCCCCGTCATCGTCCTCGCTATCGTTGCGTCGTCGTCCTTCCCGTCCGCGTCATCGTCCTCGCTATCCTTGTCCCCGTCGTCGCCCTCGCTATCGTTGTCGTCGTCGTCGTCATCGTCGTCGTTTGTCGTGGTCGTCGTCCAGCGCCTAGTCCCCTGCCCTGCGGGCCCCCCCACCACGTTACAGTTAATTTCCCCCCACGGGGGCCCATCCGCCCCCCCCTGGTAACGGACAGTACGGGGGGCGGGGGGGAAATTCTGTCCTCCTCCTCCTCCTCTTCCTCCTCCTCCCTCCTCATCCTTCCTCCTTGTTTCCTTCTCCCTCCTCCTCCCCCTCCTCCATCCTCCTCCTGCTCCCCCGTCATCCTTCTCCTCCCTCCCCCTCCTGAGGATCCGCCCCCCGCCTCCCCAGCGGTCCGCTGGGCGGGGCTCGGGCCCGGCACGCAAGTGTGCCCTTTCGCCGGGGCGACGACTGGCTGGCGCGCTCGGGCTGCTTGGGACTCGGCCTGCCTCGCGGCCCTTCCGAAGGCTGCGCACCAAAGTCATCCACGCGCAGAGGGGGGTAGGGGGGAGGGGGTAAGGCTTCCCAGAAGCACCCTGCTTCTCAGAAGGCGCGGGCCTTCTCTACACCTGAAAGGCCCGCGCATTCTAAGAGGCAGCCTCCTTCCAAGAAGCTTTGCCCCCTACCCCCCTACCCCCTTGCGCGCGCCGCCAGCGAAGGTCGCTCCTGCCCAGGATCCTGCGCGCAGCCGACCACGGGGCCGCCGGTCGGAGCTCGGGTGCCCCCTCTGGCCGACGAGGTGCAGCCGCGCACGCAGAAGCCTTCGGGGCCCCGCGCGGACTTCCTCGATCCGCGCCCGACCCGCCCGCACGCCAGGGAGGGGGGGGGGTGTCTGGCGCCGACCCGAGGAACTCGCGCGGACCCCCGGGCAGTTCCTGGCCGTGTCGCGTTTGACATCCCTCGGTGCCCCAGACGACGGCGCCCTCTCCTGAGCGGCAGCGAGGCCCGCCTCCTGTGAGTTCCGCCTCCGCGGTGCTCTTGTCGCCTGCTTCCCTCACCCTGGTGCGCCATTCGCTCGCAGCCCGCTGCTGCGACTCTCTTGGACGGCGTCTGGCGTCTCCCCGGTGCGCCAGCGATCAAGAAGCTCGGCATCCCTCTGTCCGGTCCGTCTCGGGCGCCGGGGCGGTCGATCGGGAGGGGGGGCACCCGGTCGGCCGCGAGCCCCCGGCCCCCCGCCCCGCCCGCGGAGGGGCAGACCGCGACAAGCAAGGGGAATTGAACAGGCGTGGAGGGCAGCGAGGACAGAGAAAAGGACGGAGAGAGAGAGAGACAGAGAGAGGAGAGGCGCGCGCGACGACGACGAGAGACGAACGACTACGGCGACGCCCGTCGTGCCGCCTGGCGCCCGCTCTGGGGCACGTCGGTCTGGCCGAGCCGGGGCCGTGGTCGGGCCGCGGGCAGCGGGCCGCGGGCCCTCCCCCCTGCGCGCCCTATCGATCTTTGGCGCTTGGCGTCGCCTGGGCAGAAGTCCGACACGTAATGTATCTCAGCCTCGCTTTACACTGGCGTCTGTAGCCCAGCGGTTGCAGGCCAGGGGATATATTAACCTTGTGCGGTTGCGAAAAAATGCTTTGTTGAAGCCAAAGATGGCGTCGAAGGGGGGGCAGGGACCAAAACCCCGCGAAACGCCTCTTCCAGACCCCGGGGGGCTGAATAAGGAAGGAGTGGGGAAGTTCCACCCGGGAAAGGGGAGAAGGGGCTTGGCAGGACGAGCCCTAGACCACTCACGCCCAGAGGGCTGGTTGGATTTTGGCGGGAGGCGTGTTTTCGGGGCCCTGGGCCCAGGACAATCCAGAAGGGATCGTGGAAGGAAAATGTGTCAACCCTGGGGAGGCGGTCGGGAGTTTTGAGCCCAGGGATTGAACAAGCACATCATCGGATGTCTGGGGATCAGCTTGCCTGGTTCTCCTTTTTCTGCCCCTCCTCTTCATCATCCTCCTTCTCCCCATCCTTCTCCCCCTCTTTTGAGAGTCCCCGATGCGCTACTAATTGCGGTTGTTGGCGAAACATGTCGTGGAAGTCGGTTTGCCAGCCTTGGCCCCGAAAAGTGAATTTTTGCATTCTGAATGAGCATGCTATGTGGTGGGGGCGGTGTATTCGGAAGTTTGGTGGTGCAAGCTATGTGGTGCAAGCCATGTGGTGCAAGCTATGTGCAGCCTGCGTGGTGGAACTTGTGTTCTGTGTTACAAGCTATGTGGCAGCAACTATCTGGTGAAAGCTCTGTGGTACCAGCTACGTGGCGCACGCGGCGCCAACGATGCGGCCACGGGCGTCCGCGGACGGCCAACAGGCAAACACCCAGAAGCGCATGCCAGTGCACGAGGCGCCCACGGGAGACCGCGCACGGCAGCCACGCGAAAACCCCGAAACTCTCGCCAGCACGCGGGGTGCCTTGGAAGGCGCCTGCGGGGCGGCCACGGGCGGCTGCCGCGCGAAAGAGTCTCGAGGCCCAGCCACGCAAGCGCACCGGGCGCCCGCAGGGCGCCCCAAGGGAGGCCACCGAGCGAAAGCTTGGAGGCCCATGCCAATCACCGAGGCCCCTGCCTGCAATCCTGGCTCCTGGGGGCAACGGGATCATAATACAAGGGAGCATCGGGCAGCAGGTCCAGCTTACGGCGCACCCTCCTCCTGCTCCTCCTCCTCCTCCTCCTCCTCCTCCTCCTCCTCCTCCCCCTCCTCCTCCTCCCCCTCCTCCTCCTCGTCCTCCTCCTTATCCTCCTCCTGCAGACGTAAGAGGGAGGCCCAGTCCCCAGTCTCCGGAAGCCCCCAGAGGCCCCCCAAATGGTGGCCCTGTCAGCAAAAATCGATTTTTTGTCGAGGTGGGGGGATCCGATCAAGGACAATGTTGAACGGGCAAAGCTCAGGGAGGAACGCACCGACCCCAACTACGTAGCCCATTCATCACAGATTGGGGCCAGATAGCCCACCGGCCCAAGAGAGTGCGGATCTGCGATCGAGGGCCTACAGTCAACCCGCATAGTAAGGATGGGCAACATTCCCAAGGATACCCTTGCACCCTTGCCTTCTCGGCCCATCCTTGGCCAGTTTCGTTGGCTGCGCCTCGCTCGAATAGCTTCGAACTGGGCGTCCAAGGCCCTTGCATCCTTATCGCGCATCCTTACTATACGGGTCGACTGTATCGCCAATCTTTCAGCGATGCATCGCCGATTCCAGGTCGACGCTTTCTTCTCTCAGCTGGGCCCCCCCCCATCCGAGGACCTGACGCGGTCGCTGGCGTGCGCGCTCGCGCCCGCGGACATCGCCGTGCACCGCGTGGCGGGCGACCCGATCTCGGCCGCGTTCTTGCCGCACGCGCAGCGGGTCTACGCCAAGCGCCGCGGCTGCGAGGGCGTGGACCCCCATCGCCTTCTCCACTTTCTTTCGTGAGTGGGGGGATGGGCAGGAGGGGGAGGAGGAGGAGGAGGAGGAGGAGGAGGAGGAGGAGGGCAGGGGCAACCTTATGGGCGGATCGGCTCAGAGGGGTACGCATCGACGCCCAACCGTCCACTGATCGCCGATAGGGAGCCCGTTCGCCATCGGATTCGCTAGCGGGGCCTATCGCTGATCTTTCGGCGATGTATCGCCGATGTCAGGTCGACGTTTCCCCCCGAGCCGCTCTCCCCTTAACGTGGTCCCTCAGACGAGGAGGAGGAGGATGCGGAGGAAGATCGAGAACCAACAGCTACACACAAGCATGCATAACCTCCGGAGGTCCGCGCAGATTTCGCGTGTCGGCGCTGGCACCCCCCCACCGTTCACTCTGGAACAGCGCCCCAGGCGCGCTCCGCACGCCAGGGGATGGGCGTGGGGAGGGGTAGAAGGAGGAGGGGGAGGAGGAGGAGGAGGAGGAGGAGGAGGAGGAGGAGGAGGAGGAGGAGGAGGAGGAGGAGGAGGGAGAGGAGGAGGGAGGGAGGAGGAGGAGGAGGAAAGGAGAAGGGGGAGGAGGAGGAGGAGGAGTAAGAGAAGGAGGATGAGGATGAGGGCGAGGAGGAAAAAGGAGGCAGGCTCGCGGAGGCGACGGGCCCCCTGGAGACGAGCTCCTCGAGTCCGTCGAGCTCGCAGGGTGCACCTCGGCACCAGCGCCGCCATGCAGCAGTCAGTAGCTAGTCGAATTCACTTGCCAATTCGGCACACGGCGCAACGCGATGCCCTCTGGCCGTCCCCTGGGGCAGAAAGGCCGCCGCTTCCTCCGGGCGCTGTGGTGCGGGGAGGGGGGGGGCGATCGACAGGGGGGTGGGGCAATTTGCACCTCTTGTGCCCCAAAGGGGCCCGCTGGGTCACGAACGGTGCACGTTGTCCCTCGTCTTCTTTCGCATCGCCCCCCATGCATGCAGGGTGAGGGTTGAGGAACTAGGGGGTCGTGTTCACGCGGCGGTGCCCAGGACGATGGTTAGAAAAACTGGCCCCGCGCCGGGAAATTGTGTTTAAACCGTTCCCCCCACCCTCCTCGGGCGCTCGCTTGGACGGTCGACGGGCCAGACGGAGCCGAAGCGAAGCGGAAGGCCGAGGATTTGGAAGCTACGTGTTGCATACTTCCCCCGCAGATTTCTCGCAACCGTCATCTCATCATCTTCATCTTGCATGAAGCAGCGCCCGATTCCTCGCGGCGGCTCGGCGTTCGCCGACCTCGCGAGCGTCGAGTCCGCCTCCGCGGCGTCCTCCCTCGCCGCTCGCGCGTGCGCTCCTCTTCACGTCGCCGCCGGTGTGGTTGCCGCTGCTGCTCCTTCTGAGTCTCCCTCCTCCATCCCCATCCCCTTCCCTTGCCCCCCTCCCCATCCCTCGACTTCTCGAGATTTGACCCTCCTCCCCCATTCTCGATCCCCCTCCCTTCAGTTGCCTCCTGCCCCCTGCCCCTGACTGGCCCCTGCCTCCCATGCAGAAACTGGCCCCCCGAATATCAGACAGAGTACACGATCCCACGACGTCAATCTTGTCTGCGGCGACGTTCAGAACTTTTGCACGCATCGGAGCGATGCTCTAACCAACGTCCTGGCCTACAGGCGTCACCAGTCCGAGCCCTCTCCAGCCTCCCAGCCCGCGGAGCGGAGCGGCACGCTGTCCGCTGGCAGGGCACTCGGGCCGCGGCAGCGACACGCTGAGCACAGGCCGCCGACCCTGAATCCCCAGCCCGCACGGAGGATGCCCGAGAGCCTCGGCGACGGCGGTCGGCCCCTTTCGCGCGGCCTCCGCAGCTCGTCGGGCCCCCCGCCTCCCGCCAGGCGTCCGTGGACCCCGCCGGCGCCGCGGCCCGCGCCGCTGGCCGCTCGGCGGCGGCACGCTCCGCTCGCTCTGATCCCTGCGACGTGCGCCGTCGAGGGCCGCGCCGCGGAGCGTGGGAAGCTCGCGGCGGCCCTCGTGGCCCATAGCAGCTCGAGGAGCGAGGATGCAGGCTCAGAGGATCAGCAGGTACCGATGCCGCCGCTCGTCCGGTACTCTAGATTCTGTAGAGCTCTCGGCGCCACGGCTGGAGTCTCCTCGAGATTTTGGTCGGAACGTACCCTGGGAGCGGTCCAGGGAGTAGCGGTACCTGTACGGGTGTGTCCTTCCACAGGCCGCCGCCCAAATGGAATCGAAGTAGATTTGGTCGGAGGATGTCGCAGCATCGCCGACGCATCGGCCATGTGGAGCCCGATTTTTTCCACGCCGACCGTCGCCGATGCATTGCCAATGTCGCCGACACATCGACTAAACATCGGCTGTCTCCTAACCCCATCTGCTTGGATTCCCATCAGGAGGTATCCAGAGCTGGAGGAGGAGGGGGAGGATGAGAGGCAGGAGGAGGAGAGGCAATGAGGAGGGAGGAGGGAGGCGGAGATGGATGAGGAGTAGGAGGAGATGGAGGAGGGAGGATCATAGAGGAGAAAGAGGAGTAGGAGGAAGGAGGAGGGAGAGGGAAGAGGAGAGTGGAGGAGGGACGCGAGGATGAGGAAGTGGAGGGTCCGTGAACATTGGTCCATGCCGCTCACACTTGTTGCTCAAGCTGGGTTGGTATGCTCATCGGGTCCAGAGCTGGTGGTGTTGTGTCGATGTCGAAGCATGGCTGCGATATTCGATCTTGATGCGCGGCGAAGGAAGCGCTGCTGGCAGACGACAGTGGCACGTGAGGACTGCAGATTTGGCCGGCAGATGAGCGACGAAGCTCACGAACGAGAGGGTTGATTGCAGGTAGGCGCGGCTGAAGGAGCTCCAAACGTTTGCCGGCGACGACTCCGAGCTCTGGGCGCGGCTGAAGCTCGTGGCTGCCGTACTTGCTGCGATCGTGGGCAAGACCCCGACCAAGCGGTAGGTGGCGGAGTGCTACACTGCTTCGCATTGCTTCGACGTCTCGGCGAGAGACCTGGAGAGGGATTTTCAGACCGAGCTGAACGCCATCAAGCCGCGCTCCAGGGCGATAATTAGAGGAGATGCAGCAGATTGTGGAGCCCAGGTCGCTTGCCGCGTCGTGGCAACAAACGCCCAGCGCGCGTGGCACGCGGTGCACGAGACCTCGGTGGGGCGCGCGGTGCACGAGGCGCGGTTTAGGGTGGCACGTGCGTGTAAGTCGCCTCGGTGGGGCGAGGAGAGCCCATCGGGGCTCTTTCAATACGGTCCCGGCGGTGCTGCTGGCACGGAATGCGCCATGGCTGCTCGGTTGCCCGCTCGTTTCTTCCTGTCACCCGGTTGCGTAGTTTCTGGGAGGGCGGCGGCGAAGGGCTTGGTGCGCTCTGTGTGGCCTGTGCTGCTTGCGCCTGGTCGAGCGTGACAAGAGGCGCCGTTTGATCCACGAAGGTCCTCAGGTCTGTGTTCAGGCTGGACCCCACTTGGCCCAACAACGACCAGTTGAGGCAGCGCCGTCCAGGTCTGGCAGGCCTGCCCGGCATCCAAGACCTCTGCTCCAAGGCCAGACCGGGACACCCAGCCATTCCCCCAGTGCGGCAGGCCCTCCAGGTGGGAACCTGACCTGGTGTCGCCCCTGTTCAGCCCAGAACCCCTTGGCCATGGCGCAGACAGCGGTCTCCCCCACGTGGCCCCTGTGCCTGAGCAGTCATCTGACGGCGCGCGCTGACCCGCAGCCCGCAGTGCACCCAGAACAGTGCGGGGCGCCCAGCAACATCACTGCAGGCTCCTCATCGCCCTCTGAGCCACCCGGCGGCCTTAGACGCCACGCGCCAACCACCCCAGCGGCGATTGGCACCTTTCCTTTCATTGTCTCCTGGCATACCTGATTGCGCACCAGTTAGGTGCCCTGGCCGCGCGTTGTCCATCCCAGCAGCGCGCGGCCCCTGACGGGCTCGGCTGCTCCTTTTGAACAGCTCCCGCACGGGTTCGGCGCCCCTTGTCCTGGCCCCGCTGTCCACCCCGGCAGCGCGCGGCCTCGCGGCATTGGCCGCAGCTTTGTTCGAGTCTCGCCCATTCCGCAGCCCCCTGCTGGGCAGCCGCAGGGCGTGCTCCAGCTACCCTGCCCCGCCGCCCGTGGCAGCGCGCACTGCGGGGGTCTCCCTACAGGCGGGGCGCTTCTCCCCCTCGTCCTCTCGCCCCTCCCCGCCGCCCCCTTCCCCCCCCCCTCCCCGCGCGCCGCCATGGCGCTCGCGAGGCTACCGCAGCTTGCAGCCTCCCCGTGCGGTTGGGCACCCGTGCTTGGTCTTGCCGCCCGCCCCCCCCTCACGGGCCCGGCATTTAGCTGGTTGCGGTCCGAACCTAGACTGCTCGCGCACTTGCCGCACCTTGTCACGCGCCACCCACCCGGGCGGCCTTGCGGCCCACCTTGTGTCGTCCAAGTGCTTCGCCTACTTCATCGGCAGCGTCTGGTAAGAACATGGTAAGCAGACTAAGCGAGCCCACAGGTAGGATTCAGATGCGTAAAAAACATAACATGAAGTTGCGCAAACACACATTTACAAAATCTAACAACTCACACGCTGATGATGTAGTTTTCTAAGAGAACAGCTTTGTCGCAGTTGCAAGACAAACATTCGTCGACCAAACGCGCACTTCCAAGGTTTGGGTTCAGACCAGGTTGGCTCAAGATTCGCCATTGTGGCTTGAGATGTTAGCGCTTTTGCGCGCCTTCGGGCAGTTCCGCGCCGCCGCGCTTGGGCCTCCAGCGTCGGGGGCCCAGGCGCCGCGCATTGGGCCACGAGCACGCGTGCTCGCGAAATGCCCCAAGCATCTCCCGACGCTGCTTGGGGGAAACACGATTTGCACCGCCCACAGCGGCGCGCGCGCGGACGTCGCTTTGTTGTCGCGCGTCGTCGGCGCACCCCAGAGGCCGTTGCAGCTACGCAACAACGCACGTTCAATGTTGAACGCGTGGGCGCGTTGCTTCTTAGTCGGCGAGAACGCCCCTTTGAGGCAACGCCGTCGCGACTGAAAAAAAAAACTGTTCCATCATCACACGAGGCCCTCCATGCCTTCTCCCTCCACCTTCCTCCCGTTCGCTCCCTTCTGCCCCCACCCCCCGCCCTCTCCGCCCCTTGCTCTTCCTGCGGCAGCGTCCCTCTTCAGTCCGCCCCCGCCCTATTGCAGACCTGTCCTGTCGGAGTCCGCCCCCCTTTCTCCTGGCCTATCTTCTCGTCGTTCTGCCTTCCTCTTGGCTCGGCGCCGCGGCTCTTCCAGGCGCCGTCGCGTTCGCCGTGCGTCGCCGTCGCCTCTTGATTTTCTCCTCCTCCTCCTCCCTCAACCACCCTGATCGTCCACCTCCCTCTCCTCTCTCCTCCTCCTCCTCCTCCTCCTCCTCCTTCTTCTACTTGTACTCGTCCTCGCCCCCCCCATGTCCTTCCAGTGCCTCATCCTCTTTCTACTCCTCTTCCTCATGGCACGCGCCGTCGCCGCCGCATTTCCCTTCCTGATGGGGGGGCGGCCCCGCCGCGGCACTGCCGCCGGGGCTCGGCGGCGATGGAGGACCGCCGCCTCCATGAGCACGAAAATGGGTAAGGGGGGATAGTTGAGAAGGAAAGACGTCATGAGGGAGCCTGGGGCGGATGGCAGGGAAGAGCGGCGAGGGGGAGCACAGGGCTCGACGCGGACAGGGATCGCGACAAAGAAGGCGAGGACGAAGAGGAGGAGAGGAGGGCCTCCTGAGGAGGAGAGGGAGGAGAAGAACGACGAGGAAGGAGGAGGAGGAGGACGAGGAAGAGGGGAGGGAAGAGGAGGAGGAGGGGGTGGAGAGAGGAAGAGGAGGATGAGGAGGAGGAAGATGCAGAGATGCCGAGGGCAATGGCAAGGGCTG